AGGCTGGCTTGGGGAACTTGCACTACTGGATGCCACCAGCCCATCAGTTTAGGTGAGGGAACGTGATCTGCAAGTGCTTGCTTATCTGTTACAATGCAAAAGCAGCCAGGTTAGGTAAAGCCTCCTTTATCAGCGGTGAAAAGCTCCCTTGGTTGCCTCTTGCTGCTGAGATGGTTTAAGAAGCGCTTGTCTGTCCCATTCCACTGGCTTTGCTGGGGGTGCATGGGGAAAAATGTTCCCTTTGCAGCACATCCTCTGTGCTGAGAGCTGCTGGGTTCAGTTTGGTGGTGAACACAAGCCCCCAGCTTGTCTGACTTCTGCTTCTGGTATACCTGAGCCCCTCTCCACCCTGCCCCAGGAGCTCATCTGTGCCGCTTCAGCTGGGGGTTTTGGTTTAGGATTGCTTTCGAGGTCCTGTTACTCTGGGCAGCAGGAACTGGCAATGACATTGAGGCAGTAGGGTTATCAGTGAAGAAAAGGATTAAGTCCTGTGCCTCCAACTCTCCCTCTCCCCCCCAGGCTAGAAGGGGGTGGGAAATGCCCACCAGGCCATAAAGACCGGGGTTGTTGCTGGTGCTCCCTAGCCTGTGTCAGCTCCTTACCCCCCTCCCCCCCCAGGGAAAAGCTTGCCTTGCCTTTCCTGGCTCTGCTGGTGGGGGAGTGCTCAGCTGGGCTACGGGGCTGAAAGGGGAGGCAGCGGTGGCTGCAGCGGGCAGGGGCTGGTCCCAAAAGGATTTGGCAGGCCGCGGAGAAGGAGGCCTTGAGCTCTGCTAGCCCTGCGGCTCTCCCGAGGGATGCTTCTTTGCTTCAGCTCCTCAAGCACGTGTTCACCACAGGCTTAGTTGAGACTTCTATGAATTTCTGCAGACTTCCAGGAGAACAACAGTACAGACCTGACATCGAGTGACAACCCCGTACTTGTCCTGAAATCCTGGTCTGGGCAAGTTTATCTCCCCTGCTTCACAGCTGTGTGAGTTCTCTGCATTGTCTCTCCTACCTGATGCCCCACAGCTGTGGGAGCAGCTGTAAGAGGGCCCTGGCCCCTGACGTGCAGGAGGTAGTGGAGGAGCTTGGAGCAGGGGAAGGGAGTTGGTTTTGGTGAGTAGCTGTGGGCTGCCTAAAGGCAAGGGGCAGCAGCAGTGTGGAGGCTCCCTGCGGTGAAGTAGCCGGGATGCAGCTGTGTGATTCTGTGGCACCTCGTTTCATTTGCTGTTTGGTCACGGCCAGGGGCGGTAGCTGCTATGGCAATAATAACCTTATCTGCAGCAGGGCTGAGAATTGGGAGAGGTCAGACGAGACATCTGCTTTACTGCAGAGCTGCTGCTTTCCCTGCCTGACTCTGCTGCTTCCCCATCTCCCCAGACCTGTGAGGATGTAGTGATACCAGTGAAGTGTTGTGAGAGGGTGGGCTCTGGCTGGGATGTGAATCAAAGTAGACTGTAAAGTGATGCCCTGCTTGTTGGGGGTGGCATGTGAATGAGCTTTGGGAGAAAATGGAGGAGATTGGGTTCCCTATTTGAATGTTGTGGTCTCTGGGAGAAAACTGGTTCAAGAGGGAGAGACTGGGCTGGCTGGGGTGAGGGGCCTGAGCTGGCTGGTGGCGAAAAGGTGCTGAAGAGGGTTGCACTGATGGAGCTGGATGATGGGGTAAGGGCCACGCAGCCGTCATGAAAGCTCCTGGAGTGGCAAGGGCAGAGCCATGTAGGTGTCAAAAAGCTGACAAAGCAGGGGAGCAGGTTTGACCCTTTGTATTGCCTGAGTGGGAACTGGCATGTGGAGGGAGGGAGGACAGGACTGGGACGGACTTAGGCAGGGAAGAGGGATCCGTACAGCCTCCGAACTACCTACCCAATGCTCATGCTCTGTCTGCACTTCTGGGTTGCCTCCTGCCTGGTAGCTGGTCTGGGAGAAGCCCTCCTTGTGCGGCTTCTCCTTGGCTGGTGGTGTGTGTCTGCTGAGCAGCAAGTGACATCTAGTGTCAGCTCAGGAAGCAGTAACTGTGGCTTGGGCTGGCTCTGGCTCTTTGATCCCAGGATCTGTGACAGCAGTTTTTGGTGCGTGCAATAGGTGCACCTGGAGTCCCTTGCTCTGAGGGAGGGGGCAAGCTCCGTGCCCCTTCTTCTGTCGGGCTTGAGCACCTCGAGCCAGGTCCCTCTACACTCCCCATGCAGCATTCCTCTGTCGCAGGTCCCTTCCCGCAGAGATGACAAACATTTCTCTCTGGGTGCTGGTAAAACGAAAGGGATGGAGCTACTGGTGGGAGAGACGGGTGTGGGGCTGAGGCTGGGTGCAAAACCAGGCGTGCGGGGGTAGGAGGTGATCTGGCTTCCCACCCTGATGGATGCAGTCACTCCTTAGTGTCACCTAGACAAATGTCTTTGGAGGCTGTGTGCCATGTGTGCTGCCCACAGGAGGTCACTGGAGAGCAAGCTGAGCCCATGTCCCTGTCCCAGGTCTGCCTGTGGGGACCCGGGCTTCCTCCTTTGTCCTTGAGAGTGTGGGTGGAGGGGTGAGCGGTGGCCTTTCGTCTATGCTCTTCCTCTGTCCTGTCCTTTGGGGAGGAGCTGGACCTGGAGGCCAGGCCCCTGGCAGTCTGGAGAGTGCACTGCCTTCATCTCCGGTTGACTTCCTTCTTTTTGCCATCCTTCAGGATGATCCAGCGGCACCAGCTGGTGCAGTCTGTGCTGCAGGAGCTGCAGGAAGCCACCGAATGCTTTGGCCTGGAGGGCCTCACCAGTGCTGCACTGGAGGCGGAGAGGACCCTGTCATCTTTCTCCCTGCCTGGCTATTGTGGGAGGCAGTTCCAAGAGGAGCTGGAGGTTGACCGGGTAGCCAGGAGCCTCTATCCTGAGGATGCCCCGAGTAACATGCTGCCTCTGGTTTGCAAAGGTGAGGGAAACCGCCTCTTTGAGGCCGCCAGCGTGCTGCTCTGGGGCAACCCCAGCCTCAGCCTGGAGCTGCAGGTGCGTACGGTGGTGGAGATGCTGCTGCACAAGCAATACTACTTGAATGGCATGATCGACTCCAAGGTGATGCTGCAGGCTGCCCGCTACTCCCTCTGCACTGAGGAGACCCCGGAGATGACCAGCCTCCCCATGGCTATCCTGGAGGCCATCTTTGATGCTGATATCAAAGCTACCTGTTTTCCTGGCACCTTTGCCAACATGTGGCACGTCTATGCTCTTGCCACAGTACTGCAGTGTAACATCTACTCCATCTACCCCATGAGCAACTTGAAGATCCGGCCCTACTTCAACCGGCTCATCCGGCCCAGGAAGTGCGGCCCGCGAACCTCCACGCTCCATATCATGTGGTCAGGGCAGCAGCTCTCCCGGCAGGTCTTCAAAGCACAGTACTTTGTGGCCGTGGTTGGCCTGGAGGAGCTAGAACCCACAGTACCTTCACCAGAGCCTCCTGTCCAGCCCATGAAGACTCTTGAGCTGCTGAACAGTGACCCACAGCTGACCTACTCCAACCTGCGTGACCGGTACAGCATTACCAAGAGCACCTTCTACCGCTGGAAGCGGCAGTCTCGTGAACACCGGCAGAAAGCAGCTGCCAGGTTTGCAGCTAAACACTTCCTCCAGTCCTGCTTTCAGGAGGGCAATATAATCCCCCTCCAGCACTTCCGACAAATGTTTCCAGAAATCTCCCGATCCACATACTATGCCTGGAAGCATGAGATGCAGAGCATGGTCAGTGGTGATGCCTCTGCTCTGGCTGAGGCCCGTGGGTTGCAGGAGCTTCACAGGGATGTCCCAAAAAAGGCTGATGGGGATGAGCCAGCAAATTCAGGGGGGAACTTAAGATCGCCGAGTCCTTCACTCGATCCCATCCAAGCAGGAATCTTTATGCAAGGAGCCAAATCCTACTTGGAGAAATGCATTTCCATGAACACTCTGGTGCCTTACAGGTGCTTCAAGCGCAGCTTCCCTGGCATCTCCAGGTCCACATACTACAACTGGCGAAGAAAAGCAATCAAGGAGAACCCCAACTTCAAACCCCCCCAGTCTCCCTTGGATAACCAGAAACCTCTAGCAACAGGAAAGCCATTCCTGCAGTTGAAGCCAAGCAGCGTGCCTGTTAGGAAGAGGCTGAATGGAGACCGGCCAGCACCCATGAGTCTCCTGCAGCTTAAGCCTTCTCTGTGCTGGAGAAAGCAGCTGCGAGATGTGGCCAAGAGGCAGGTCCAGCAATGGCGACTGCCATTCTGCAAGTACCGCCTGCGCTACCCATCTCTCTCCTCCACAGCCTACTGGTTTTGGAAGGGCAGTGGCCGGGCCCTTGGGCAGCATCGCCTGCCCCGGACCAGCTCTAGCCGGCCGTTGAACCGGGTGGCTTCCCTGGCACCTCCGAGAGTGGACCCAGGCCTCAAGCCCCAGTGCCACATGGAGGTAGCCACCAAGCAGCTAAACAAGCTGGTGCCAGCTACACCGTACAACGCCACCATTTCGGGCTATGCCATGTCAGAGAGAGCCAACAGCCGGATGTTTGTGATGGATGTGATAGCCACTGCCCAGTTCAAGGCGCAGGCCAAGCTGTTCCTGCAGCAGCGCTTTGAGTCGAAGACCTTCCCCACCTACAAGGAGTTCAGTGCACGCTTCCCGCTCACGGCACGTTCCACTTACTACATGTGGAAGCGTGCCCTGCACGATGGGCTGACGCTCGTGGATGCCTGAGTGCCGTCTGCCAGCTGGCTTGGCCACAGCTCCTCTGCTGACGTGCCCTTTGGCTCTCTGGTGGGGTGCCCGGGCCGGGACCTTGCTCTAACTTTTGTTCCAGTTTAGTTTTGTTTTGTTCCTGGTCTGTGGCTTTCTTTTCTGTGTGGTTCAATCAGGTATGGCAGCATCTTCACAGTGCCCGTTGCCAGAGACAGGAGGAGTGGAAGGAGAAGGCACTGAGCTTCCCCAAAGTTGAGGGGCCAGGAGGTTGCCCTCTGTGCTCGGAGGGTGAGCAAGGGAGGGAGTACCATGCCAGTGTCACAAGACACTGCTGGGCCTCTTGAGACGGAGGATGTGAAGGTCTCTCTGGCCTGGTCACTTGCTTGAATGAGTAATGTGAACATGCAGGATGAGCGTGGAGGTGCCCAGCATCCCCTCGGCGAGCAGAGCAGTGCTGCCTCGGCTGTGGGTGAGGAGGGCTTGGGCAGTGCTCAGCTTTATGGGAAGAGCATCTTTGACCTGGGTTCTTTCTAGCTAAGGAAAGTAAAAGATTCACTTAGGGTCAGCACTGATGCCACCTTGGCTTTCTGGCTCTTAATACCTGCCTCTGGCTGCCTGATCTTCCCTGGAGGGAGCAGAGGCTGGTAGAGGAGGGGACTTGTTTGTGTCCCCACTGTAGTCTGTCTGCTGGGAACACTAAGGTAGGAGCCGGTGTCCTTTGCTGGCTCAGGAGAAGCTGTCCCTGAGCTTTCTGGTCTTGTAGCAATAACCTTTCACGCATTCCTGTACTCTTTCACAGCTGGCAGCTGCCTTACTTTTCCTAGAGTCTCTCTTCCCTGGGGCCTGGGAAAAGGCAGAGAGACTGAACCTTGTGTGCCCAGTGTCCTTGTGTCCCCTGCACTGTGCTGCAAGCTGAACACAACGTGGGTGTCCCCTTGCAGTGAGCCGAGATGCATATATCTCGCTTGAAAGAAACCAAAGCAATAAAGGCTCTTCCACTCCCAGTCCTGTGCAGTTTCTTACTCTTGCTTGTGTGATTTCTGGGCAAGGCTTTTCCCTCCACGTCTGCTTCTAAAAGTGGCTCATGGATGGGGAGAGCCTGTGCACACCTTGGTCCCTGCTCCTGTGGAGGTCCTCTTCTGCTTCCTGGGACCTGGTGGGGGCCATGTGCTTGGTGATGCTCTGGGGCTGTGCTCTCCCTGGCATGAGGCCAGGACTCGGATGCAAGGCTGGGGGGGATGCAGTGGGTACAGCTCTGTGAGGGCGGGGATGTGGTGGCAATGTCTGAGGTGCCAGCAGGTGGTCCCATCCTGGAACAGCGGTGCTGTACTGGGAGACTAAAACTGGCTGTTTGCACCTCTGCCCTGCCCGTGTCTCCAGGTGCAGGGCTGCGGGGGTCACTGCCTGCCCAGGCTCTGCTGGGGGTCTCCAAAAAGCCTTGTCCCCTTGGTATGTGAGTGTCTGCCAGCATGGCTTCACAGGCCTGAGCTGTAGGGGCTCTGGGGCTGGTAGCCACCACTGAGGAGGGTGGTGACAACAGCAGGACCTGCTCTTGCCTCCTGCAAAGCTGCTGGGCGTTGGAGCACCCTACACATGTGAGGGGAGAGCCTCTTGAGCTCTGCACCTACCCCATCAGCCCTCGAGGCTGGCTCTAACAGCAAGGGTGAGTCTTGTCTTTCTTACCCTCAGGCCTTTGCCGGGGGATAGGGAACCTTAGTGGCTTGGTTAGGAGTTGAGATGCAATAATGCTGCCAACCCCCCCACCCCACCTTGCTCACAAATCATTTATTTTTCTTCAGTATGTCTGGGACCTCTCAGTTCCTACTGCAGCCTAGTCCTGCTGCAGATGGAGTCTGGCTTCACTGACCACCAACCTCCTAGGCAGAGGAGGACCTGTGCTAGAAAGCCCTGCTGAGCTTTCCTGGGCATCATCCTGCTCCAGAAAGGGCGGCTCAAGGTCATCCTGTGGCACCCTTGGGCCTGAGTTATATGGTGGGGCAGCCCTGGAGGAGCAGTGCTGAGACAGTGGGGCATCTCTTCAGATACCACCTAGCTCTGTGGCCTTGGTGCCAGTGGGTTCTCACCACCACCCATCCATGCCAGTGTACCCTGTGAGGTCCCAGAGGAGAGGACCCGGGGCGGTGGGTGCCCTGGGGAGGGAGGTGTGCAAGGAGCTGCCGAGCAGCGTGGTGTGCTGCTGCACAGAGCCCTGGGCACTCGAGCTCTGCGTGTGGGGAAGTAATTGGAGTAATTAGCTGCCAACGACTTCTCTCCAGTGAACTCCTCCAAGGGAGTAAGCTGGTAATTACTCCAGAATGATTACCTGTGTTTCCAAACTGCCAGAGGCTGGAGATAGCTGCTTTTAGCGGCAGCAGTGGCTGTGAAGGTGGAGGTGAGGCCCCGAAGTGTGCCCTTCCTTGGCTGAGCCTAGGGAGGAGCATGAAGGGTGGGTTTTCTGACCATGACTGCTAACGCAGGCGCCATCTGGGTGGCCCTGAGGCTGGGGCAGACCGTGCCTGGCCGGGGATCCACTGGCACGGCACAGCATGGTGGGTGGCTGCAGGAGAGCCTGGGGCAGCCTCCGTGGTGGCAGGTACCCAGTGCTCTGCAGGGTGGAGGGACCGCTTCTCCTGCTTTCTATCATGCAACTCTCCCCAGACAGGGAGCACTGCATGCCTTGCACCGAGCTGCGGTTGCAGGATGAATCTCCTGGGTGCTGGCCCCCATCCCCCCCCACCCCCTTGCAAGACATTTTTGAGGAGCCCTGGTGAAAAGATCCAGGCACGATGGTTTTTCTGCCCTTAGCTGGATGCCTGGGTGTGGCATGGTGGGAAAATAATTCTCATCCTTCTCAGGGGTTTTACAAGTGCCCTTACGTTTCTCCCTCCCCTTGATGGCAGCAGGGCCATGGTGGTCCCCGCCAGTTAGCACTGCCGAAATGGTGGGTGCTCCTTATTTACTGAGGCAGTTTGTGGCTGAGCAGGGTTTAACTGGGGGGGACACGTAGCACTCAACTCGTACCCATCATGCTGCTCTCACGTTGTGCTGGCGGTGGGGGATGAATTTGAGGCAGCCTCAGCTGCTCTGCACCACACTGCTGGCACCAGCCGATAAATCTCTCCCTTTGCATGTGTGGAGCAAGGTTTAGCTCAGGTGCCACCTGCGCTCCCTCACAGGTCGGTGCTTAAAAGCACCAACCCCATCAAAGAAGGAAATGAAAAGTCGATTGAGATGCAGAGGCTGGGGGGGGGGGGAGGCCTGAGAGGAGCAGCCCCCTGCCTGCCTGTGATGTGGGGCTCTGCTGGCACTAATGCACCCCATTCGTGTCTGTGGGAGGGGGGTTGCAGGTGCAGGAGGTGGGCAACGCAGCGCAGCAGAGCCTGCCTGGATGCTGTGCTGTGGGAATAGTTGGGTGTGCCCAAGCAAAGCTTTGAGGCGCTTAACTGGTATGTGTTAGCTCAAGCACCACTTTGCCTCCAGATTTTGCCTAAACAGCTGGTTTGTCAGTGCAAAGAGCGAATAGTGCTGGTCTCAAAAATATCTCAAGGTAGTAAAAGGGTTGGGGTTTGCAATGCAGCTCCTGTGCTTTGCTAGGAGTAGAGATATAGCAGCGGCAGGAGGACAGAAAAGGCAGCGCCACCGAAACTTCAAAACTTCCTGAGCTGACAAGTGCAAAAGCAACACATTATCAAGAACTTGGGGAGGGGAGGAAAGAAGATGAGGAGAAAAAGGAAAAAAGGGATCTTTTGGATCAGCCCCCCGAGTAAGTCTCTGCATAGGTCTGGGCTACAACCCAGCTGTTGGGTCTGGAGTCCTTTTCCTCCTGGTGCCCCCAGGATATTTGGGGGAACCATCTGCCTCTGTCCCAGCCACAACCAGGTCCCTGTTCTCCTACCACCATCTCTGCCTTCTTCCCATGAAAATCCCTCTCTCACGCACCATGGCTGAAAATGTGTCCCGGAGTTCAGCTGTGGCCCACCACTGCCTTGCCATTGTCCTTCACGAATATTTTTGCTGAAACATTTTGCCCTGTGGATCTTCATGTCAGATCCAGGTTTTTCACGCTCCTGCGATGGCTCAGGCCTTTCCCCGGTCCCTGCCTGCTGAGGAGCTCTCTGCCAGTTCCTGCTGGCAAACCCTCATCCCATCTGCCTGTATTTCATCCCATCTTCACCCCTCCTGCCTTCCAGGTGTCCCAGTTTCTTTACTCTTCTTCTGTATTTTCAAACCCTCCTGCTTTTGTCTCATTAGCAAAGGTCACCAAGGCACCCCTCCTTCCTGTACCAACTTGCTAGTGAAAATATGGACAATCAGTCCTTACGTGGATCCTCAAGGATTTTGCCCTCCAGCCCAGCAGGTCTTCTTCTAAAGTATTAATAACCCCTTAAAACCCATCTTAGCTTTCTTGAACCAGCCCCCACCTGACAACTGTCAGTGTTGCTCCGTACCAGGGGTTTGGCCAAGGTCCAGATGCTGCGTTCTCTGCCCTTCCTCTTCTGGAAAACAAGTGAGCTGATGTGTAATGCTAATTTAGCAGTCAATGTCTGGAAAACACTGGAGTCTTGGAGAAAATACTCAGATATGAAAGCACTTCAAGAAGGAAAACTTCCATCTTTCTAGCCTAATACTGTCAAGAGTTTACTGCCTGCACCTAGACTTTGATATATTACTTTGAGGATGGCATTTTGGCAGATACTGCATTTATTTGCATTTCATTTCTCCTTCCCTGGCTTGTTCCTTTGCCCCTCTCCCCATCCCTCCTCCATCGCTTTGGTAACCGCAGCCCTGGGGGAAGGTAGGAGAGCTGCGGCGGGGGGGGCACCCCCCCCCACACTCCGATGTGCGGGGATAAATTTTATCTTCCCAGCACTTCTGCAGCTGCGTGAGTCTGGGCAGGGGGCAGGCAGGGAGCCTGCCTGTGCAGCGGGAAGGAGGGTGCTGGCTCTGGATCCCTTGCCCATGGGGCTCTCCCTCAGCTCTCCACGCCAGGACAAGGCAGCCACCTTGCAGGGCTGCGT